GCCCATGCTTTCGGCGATCTTGGCCACTCGAGCCTCACCACAGTACACTTCCCACAAGACCCGAGGTCGGTCACCAGAGTTGTGCAGCTCGGAGGTGACATAGGCATGGAGACTGTTCTCCAACTCGTTCAAGTGGACGTCACAAGTGTCCAAGAGATGGCGCTGCATGGGGCGCATGCCTTCATTTGAAGCACATTCAGTTGGGGCCATCTCAAACAGGTTCTCCATGTTGTTGAACTCCTTGAAGGACGTGGTGTTGGCTTCTGTGTCGGCTGGGGCAATCAGCTCAAACGCTGGTGGGTGAGCCAGCCAGGCCAAGTCATAGTCGTCCAAAAGTGGCAAAAGATATTCGCCATGGGCTCCAATCACAGTGGGCTGCCAGTCCATGTCGCCAAGCTTGATGCGTCGTCGGCCACAGTCCAGGACCAATCCAAGTTGCTCCATGATTGGCCGTCCCATCAGCATAGGCGTTTCTCCCTTGAGGAGGTACATCTGGACATAGCCAAACTGGCCAGCCAGGAACATCGGCAGCTTCACTGTCCACTGGCACTGAGAGCTTGCATCACCTCCAAAGTGGAAGGTGCGTGAGCATCGCATGAACTCCAGCTGCGTGATGTCAAAGTCCATCTCGCGCAACTTCTCCACGTAGCGCTTGAAGGGACCGTAGCCGCTCAGAAATGCTGAAGCGCCAGGGTCCAGCATAGAGCAGTCAGGTCGCTCATGGCCACGGTCATCCAAGAAGATGACAAGTCCATGCTCATCTCCAACCACTGACTCGGTTGGTGCAGATCTCTTCTTTGGGCTCCCTTTTGGAACTGGACAGTTGTAGGTTGTATGACCCTGCTGTCCACACCTCAGGCACGTCGTAGATGCCAGGGCTGCTTGAGCACGTCCACGAGGGTCAGCTTTTCCAGGACCACGTGGTGGGTACTTCACGGTCGTGCGACCACCCTTGCCCTTGTTCTTCCCCTTGGGTTTGCCTTTCCCTTTTCCTCGACCAGGCGAAGACGAAGGGGAGGCTGTTGGCGAAATGCCAGGGGAAAGTCCAGCACCAGCTTCGCTGAGGGCGACGATGGGCAGGTAGCCACGTGCCAGCTTGATGTCGTTGAAGCGCTTGCGAGCATCAAGGTAGGCAGCAAATGCACTGTCGTACTCCTCAGCTTGCTCTTGTGGGTCTTCAGGAGGAACTTCATCACCGTAGTAGGCTGCATCATCGTCAAACCCAGTGGTGTCCTCCTCATAGTACCCATGGTGCGAGGGAGACTCATAGTGGGTCGGTGAGTCATTGTACTCCGTGTAGTACTCGTCGTACTCATAGTGGGCGGAGTAGTCCTCAGCTTCATAGTCGTAGGACTCATCCCTCTGACCTGGATCGGCTTCATCATCACCATAGAAGGCTGCATAACCACGGCCTTTTCCACGGTGACCTCCTTTGGAGTGTCCGGCCACCGTCTTGTAGTCTTGGCCCAGCACCAGGAAAAGCGTCTCCTGGACCTTGTTCTTCTCCAAGGTGGGCGCTTGTGTCAGCACCAGCTGGCGCTGCTCGCGCGTCAGTCCAGCGCGGCGCAACAAGTGCCATCCCTGCACTTGGGTCGGCAGCGTCACCTTGTGGTCGGCCAGCCTGTTGTAGAGCTCGTCGTGCTGGGTGCAGTAGTCCAGCAACGTCTGGCCGTTATGGCGCTGGAAGCCGCTGAAGTACTTGTCGAAGTCGCCAGGGAGTTGGACTCGATTGTCATACTCGAAGGCCTTGTCCAACATCTTGAGGAGCTTGTTGAAGGCATCGCTCTTCTCCACATCCTCCAGCGGGAACGATTCGACCAGCTTCCAAGCTGTGCCGGTGAGGCTTGAGATCAGGTTCAAGACTCCTTCGGCTTCTCGTTTGAGCAGCTTCATCTTGGTCATGTACAGGGAGATCCTCTTTCGCCACTCGCGGTAGTCGCTTGGGGCACCGCTGAACAAGGGCACATAGTTGTCCTTGGTCACCGCGGTGTCACCAGCTGAACTCGCCGCTGAAGACATAGTCCAGGATGTAGTTCCCAGTCAACAGTTGCCTGCACAGGGCGAAGCACAGAAGGCCTGCACAGGACCTTAGCTCAGCAAGGGCCGCGGCAGAACGAAGCCAAGAGCACTGAAGGCTCAGCTGGCTCCAAGGCAGCACAGAGCCAAGAGCACAAGGGCTCAGCAGGCTCCAGAGCAGAGCAAAGCAGAACAGAGCCAAGAGCACGAAGCTCAGCAGGCTCCTAAGCAGTGCAGAGCAGAGCCAAGAGCACGAGGGCTCAGCTGGCGCCGCAGAGCAGAACAGAGCCAAGAGCACGAAGCTCAGCTGGCTCCGCTACCAACGCGAAGTCTGGGGGATCCCGGCTCCCGAAGTCCGGTCCGCCTAGTCCACAAAGTAGTGGCACAGCCTTTTCGAGAAGGCTGCGTTTCCGTTCACCGTCAGGCGTCAGTTATCCCTCCCTTGAGAGGAAATGCCGCGGTATCACCGCAGGATCACATGTACAACCCTAGTGCATGGAGTGCACTTCACATTTTGAATATTTTGAATTTTTTGAATTTCAAAATATTCAAAATATTCAAAATATTCAAAATATAATGAACTTCTCCCAAAAGTCACTCTGAACCTCGTTTTTGGTGATTTCAAAATATTTTGAATATTTTGAATTTTTTGAATTTCAAAATATTCAAAATATTCAAAAAATTTAGCCAATACAAAAATATTTTGAATATTTTGAATTTTTTGAATTTCAAAATATTCAAAATATTCAAAAAAATTAGCCAATACAAAAATATTTTGAATATTTTGAATTTTTTGAATTTCAAAAAGTTCAAAATATTCAAAAAATTTAGCCAATACAAAAATATTTTGAATATTTTGAATTTTTTGAATTTCAAAATATTCAAAATATTCAAAATATTCAAAATATAATGAACTTCTCCCAAAAGTCTCTCTGAACCTCTTTTTTGGTGATTTCATTATTTAAATATTTTGAATATGTTGAATTTTTTGAATTTCAAAAAATTCAAAATATTCAAAAAATTTAGCCAATACTAAAATATTTTGAATTTTATGAATTTCAAAAAAATCAAAATATTCAAAAAAATTAGCCAATACAAAAATATTTTGAATATTTTGATTTTTTTGAATTTCAAAATATTCAAAATATTCAAAATATAATGAACTTCTCCCAAAAGTCTCTCTGAACCTCTTTTTTGGTGATTTCATTATTTTTTAAATATTTTGAATATGTTGAATTTTTTGAATTTCAAAAAATTCAAAATATTCAAAAAAATTAGTCAATACAAAAATATTTTGAATATTTTGATTTTTTTTTGAATTTCAAAATATTCAAAATATTCAAACAATTTAGCCAATACAAAAATATTTTGAATATTTTGAATTTTTTGAATTTCAAAATATTCAAAATATTCAAAATATAATGAACTTCTCCCGAAAGTCTCTCTGAACCTCTTTTTTGGTGATTTCATTATTTTTTAAATATTTTGAATATTTTGAATTTCAAAATATTCAAAATATTCAAAAAATTTAGCCGATACAAAAATATTTTGAATATTTTGAATTTTTTGAATTTCAAAATATTCAAAATATTCAAAAAATTTAGCCAATACAAAAATATTTTGAATATTTTGAATTTTTTGAATTTCAAAATGTTCAAAATATTCAAAATATAATGAACTTCTCCCAAAAGTCTCTCTGAACCTTGTTTTTGGTGATTTCAAAATATTTTGAATATTTTGAATATTTTGATTTTTTTGAATTTCAAAATATGCAAAATATTCAAAAAAATTAGCCAATACAAAAATATTTTGAATATTTTGAATTTTTTGAATTTCAAAATGTTCAAAATATTCAAAAAAATTAGCCAATACAAAAATATTTTGAATATTTTGAATTTTTTGAATTTCAAAATGTTCAAAATATTCAAAAAAATTAGCCAATACAAAAATATTTTGAATATTTTGAATTTTTTGAATTTCAAAATGTTCAAAATATTCAAAAAAATTAGCCAATACAAAAATATTTTGAATATTTTGAATTTCAAAATATTCAAAATATTCAAAATATTCAAAATATTCAAAATATTCAAAATATTCAAAATATTCAAAATATAATGAACTTCTCCCAAAAGTCTCTCTGAACCTTGTTTTTGGTGATTTCAAAATATTTTGAATATTTTGAATATTTTGATTTTTTTGAATTTCAAAATATTCAAAATATTCAAAAAATTTAGCCAATACAAAAATATTCAAAAAATTTAGCCAATACAAAAATATTTTGAATATTTTGAATTTTTTGAATTTCAAAATATTCAAAATATTCAAAAAATTTAGCCAATACAAAAATATTTTGAATATTTTGATTTTTTTGAATTTCAAAATATTCAAAATATTCAAAATATTCAAAATATAATGAACTTCTCCTAAAAGCCTCTCTGAACCTCTTTTTTGGTGATTTCATTATTTTTTTGAATATGAAATGGAATCAAATAGTCAACGGTCAAATAGTACATGAAGGTCCATCGTACATATATATATATACATACTGATATATATATATATATATATTATATATTATATACTTATATCATATATATATACTTATATATATACTTATATATTTATATCATATATACATATACTTATATCATATAAATATATACTTATATCATATATATACTTATATCATATTTTTATATATACTTATATCATATAAATATACTTATATCATATTTTTATATATACTTATATCATATATATATATATACTTATATACTTATATCACATATATATATATAGATACACTTATATACTTATATCATATATATATACTTATATCATATATACATCTACATCTACATATACATATACATATACATATACATATACATACATTGCATTACGTTACGTTACATTACATTTTTGGTTTGGATCATGTGTACATGCTATTTGAACTGTGTACATATACATTTCATCTCACCGAGGCATGGCGTCCGCAGCTGTCCTTCTGCAATGGACAGCTCAACGTGACGTTTCCTCCAACGTTTGCCCGACATGTGAATGATCACTTGTTGGGCATGAAGGATCACTTGTTTGGTTGCAAGAAATTGAACAACTGGGTAACACTTCACAGGAAAACCAGAGAAAACCTCACAATTGATGGTATAAACCACGTTTTGTTCGTTGTAAATTGTTCCCTTGAACCAACCAAACAAAAGCTTTGAATTCTGCGTCCAGAGCCAGGTGCTCTGGCATTGCTTCAACTATGGTGGCTTGCTGAGATTTGCATCCCCAATAAGAAGGTGATGGCATGATGGCCGTGCCATCAGATGGCTTGGCATCCATTGCTTCTTCGAGAATATATACATAGATTTACACCATCATATACCTACTCCCTCAATTTAACATGAACATGGTTAACTGAGGGCCAAGGTACCTGGTACATACGTGTATACATATATACATACACACTTAGTACATGAGAGTAAATAAATAAATGAATAGTTACATAAATAAATAACAGATACTGTAAACACATAATAATGCATATACAGTTTATACAGAGACATGCAAGCTCTATACTGATGATTCGTGGAGCATATCTGCATTCGCCATCTTTTTAAGCAAGGTTTGCGCCGTGAAGAACGTGTCAGAGATTCCCATCTCGTGGCCTGCGACGAAATCGGAGATAAACATCTCAATAAATGGCCCTTGAACAATGGAAAATATGATGAGCAACCCTGAGGTTTTGGAGTACGTGATTATTCAGAACCCCCAATGGCAGCCTGGTTGATGAATGTTGCGATTGTTTTGAGATGAATCGATCAATATCGCATTGATGACAGCACATTACTCGGCCAAGTCATCCTCCCTTGGATATTTTCAAGCTTGACGCTGGCACATCTTGTGGCCGTTCCAGGTACGAATGTCGAATTCCGACACGCTTCCGCTCTACCTTCTGGTGTGTCCCTGAGTCTTTTGGAGATGTCTGACCCCTTGCCGGAAACGGGCTTATACAACTTATACAGGCTTATTTTATGATTTATAACACAGTGAATTGCTGCACCCTGTCCTTTCGCCACCAGGTTCACCGAAGCTTCTGGACAGCCTGCGGCTCAGGGTGACAGGTTGTTCCGCAGAAAGCGGCTCTTCGGCGCAAATCCCATGGTGATTTTTCATGGTGATCCAGTCGTGCACAGGTGGATTTTTCTTGCACTTAAACTAGAGTAACCTCCGGAAAAAGGACACATCATGTGCCACTGTTTTGGTGGGATTTTTCTTTTATTCTATATATATGTATATATATATGTATACATATACACAAACACACACGCACACACACGCGCACACACACACACTTTTTTGGGTCACTCTGTCCATTTTTTTGGGGTGCAAAAAAATTGAGCCATTGCCAGGTTGGCACCATCTGAATCCACCAGCGTTGTGGCAAATTTCTGTCCTTCGAGCGAGTGGCCGGCTGAGTTGTTTCAGGTTTGAAGCACCGGTTTCCAGAAATAGGGATACCTCTGAATCATCCATTTATCTGGGTAAATTATAACGACCTCACTGCGACCTCACTGGAATCATGGTTAGTAAGGGGAATCATCCCCAAATGGCCTTAATTCAGGTTAGTGAAATATTATAATTCACCCAGAATTATAGATGGATTTTCCATGAAATAAACCATCCAGCGATAAAGGGGTACCCCCATTTATGGAAACCAAAAGTCATGGCGGCGCCGAGCTGTGGTCAACAATGGGGATGGGGCAAAGTTGAAGACTCTGGACCCACAGACAGACTGGTCATTTGCACTCGCCAGCCATCCTGTTTTTAGGGTAAGTCCGACATTTTTGATCTGTACCCATTTGGCAGCCACAAGATTGCCATCCAAAATTTGGATGTTTCTGGTCAGCAAAATTTTGAGCTCAACCCTTCGAGCGTGACCAACTGCTATAACCAGATCGACTGCTGATGGCTGCAGAGAACTCGCAGATGCTGAAGCTGGCCGGTGGCATGGCTGTTGGAGCCACTGCCTTGATGATGGCATCAACCCTCAAGCAGTCCTTGAAGCTTGGACTTAGATGAGCAGTGGAAGAGTTGTGCACGGATGATTTGTGCTGAGAGAGGAATTGGAAGTCGATAAGTCTGATAAGTCTCAAGTAAGCATTTGGTGGGAGTTTAAGTTTGCTGGATGTTAGGAAGATTTAGGAAGCAGTTTCCCACATTGAAGGGTTTCACCGGTTTCACCGGTTTCACCAAGCACATGACAGCTGCAGACAGCTGCAGACAGCTGCAGACAGCTGCAGACCCAAGGAAGGCCTCCGCGCGTCGCGAGGCGTCTTCCTCTTTTGAGTACCACCTGGCGGTGCATTGCCCACAGATCTCGTCGTGCTCAACTTGGCAGTTGGTGAAGTTGCCCAAAGTGGCCAATGTCAAGGAGCTGCACCAAGCAACCTGTGCTGCGCTCGGCAAAGATGTCGAGACCTTCCAGGACTTCAACTTCTATCCAGTGGAAAGGAAAACAGTGGATGGAGCCTGTGTGAAGCTTGGGCCACAGCTGAAGGAAATTGGCTGCTTGGATCTGTTGCTTGTGGCGCTGCCGCCTGATCACCTGCAGGTGGTTCAGCTGATCTTTGCTCCAGAAGTCCCCCAACCAGCAGAGGTGCCACAAGGGCCCAAGGCTTTCAACGTCTGTGGCATGTGCCTGCCGCTGGTCGGTACCAGTCACCAGTTCAAGGGGCCCTATGCCATCCCTGAGTATAACTTCGCCCAAAATGTCTTCCCTCCAACTGGAAAGTATCCCTATGGTTCCACGGTTCGTTCCTATGACGGCCGCAAGCAAGATGTCTGGGAGTTCGGAACCACGGTCTTCCACGAGGACACTCAATACACCGAGACCATGACGGCAGATGCCAACATCGTCCAGGAGTTGATCGCAAGAACTTCGGACTTTCCCAAACTTTGGAACCGAGACGTTGAAGTTGGTTTGCAGGCCGGGCACCCACGATCACCAACGATCACCCCACGATTACCCCACGATCCCAGATCCAATTCCTGTTACCTCAAGACATGGTAAAGCATGGTGAAGATGTTTGTGACACCTGACATCTTCTGATATCTTTTGACGTCTTCTGACGTCTGACCCAGGATTTCACCGCCAATGGACTTTTCACCAGCAGCGAGAAGTCTGAGGATTGGAAGACGGGTCACAGTCTTCTCCCTCGCGGCTTCAATCAGATCAAGGTGAAGGCCTTTGCCCCTCAGATCTTGGCAAAGACTCGTTCTTTCGTTGGCGAATGGTCCAAGTTTGAGGCCGGGCATTTGGTGGAGGATGTGAACGAATGGCTGACTGCCATGACCGCAGATGCTGTGGTTTCTTGTAGCATGGGAATGGACATGCGCAATGTGGAACGCTTGGGTTCCAAGCAGGCGCCTCACAAGTTCGTAGAGACTTTCCGCTTTGGCTTGGGGGTGTCCATTGGAAGCATCACGGCACAGTCGGAGTACGGCCTCAAGCGCTTCTTGCCCTTCTTTGATGCAGAGGGTCGCTTGCAGGCGAAATACCAGGAAACCAAAAAGGAGATGCAGCGCCAGGTGGGGTTTGCCACGGTTTGCCCAGAGGTACCAGGTGCCTTTAAAATCTTTAAAGGATCCATGGCTTGTCATCATTTTCCTGCTTGGGATAGCCATAAATTGGCATAGACATAGATCTTATGCACAGTATAGCATCACGTTTGTATACTTTTGTTCGTCAAATTACCTGGATCTTTTGGTGAGACATCTTATATATTTCTGTTAATTATGACTTTAGAAACAGTTAAACATCTTCCATTTATGGAGTATGAGTATAGAGACAGTATAGAATAGTATAGAACTTTAATTTTTGAGACCTGAGGTGGAAGATTTGGTGGAAGCCACTCGCCGTGGTGAGTTGGGTGAGAACTCCATCATCGCTGCCATGCTGAAGGATGCCGACCCGGATGGGAAGCGCGTGCGCTACGGCGCCCTCTACGGGCACGTGGTGAATCTGATGATCGCCGGGCACGAAACCACAGCGGCCACCCTTGGCTTCACCCTGCAACTGCTGGCGGAGCATCCCAGCTATGAAGAACGGGCCCTGGAGGAGCTGGGTTTTGGGTCGTTTTGGGTTTGATCACCTTTGGTCTTTGTTTTCTTTTTCGGGTTCATCCACCATTTTGGCAATTTACTCTGAATATCTCTGAATATATATATATATAATTATGTATATATATATATATATTTATAATTATATATATAATAGAATCATATTACATTATATATTTAAATGCTATGTATATAATATACATACATATGTAAACATAACATATGTTATCTATGCATGTACGTATGTATAGATATATACACACATTATACGGCTCCAAAGGCAATGAGAGCTTAGGATTTTGATGCATTTTCAGTATTAGTTTGACAATTCATGGAGCTTTCAGCACGAGCTCATCCACCATTTGGGCAACCTGCCAGAATATCACAGAAACATATTCTATATAGAGAGTACATTTTATTTTTCACATTCATATAAATAAATAAATTAATATATATATATATATGTGTACGTCTACATGTTAAAGCGGCCTGCTTCCGCAAATCCACACCAGGAAGTGCGGCAGGTGTTGCAGGGCCGCACTGAGCCGTCAGTGGATGATGTGCCCAAGCTGCAGTTTGTGGAGCAATGCTTCCAGGAGGCCCTGAGGCTCTACAGCCCTGTGACCTTTATCACCCGGGACGTGGCACATGATACGTTGCTGGGAGGTCATCGTGTGTACCAAGGTGAAAGGATCAACCTGGTGACACGTGCCTTGCATACGAACCCCGAGTACTGGGCTGGGGCGGCTGGGGAATTTGGAGATCCATTGAGCTTCAACCCAGATCGCTTCTCTCCAGAGGCAGTGAGGGAGCGACATCCCAACGCCTATCACCCTTGGGGTTTCGCCAGTCGCGCCTGTATTGGGAGTCAGTTCGCCCTCTTTGAGGCCAAAACCTTCTTGGCATCGATGTTGATCCACTTCCGGCTGCAAGGCATTCCAGGGTACAAGATCGTGGCCAGTTGCGAAGGTGGGGGTGCTGCACCCTCCCCGGAGAACTTGGCCTTCCATGTCTTCCCCAGGCCAGGTGGACCATTGTGGTCTGATGGCATCATGAGACCACTGGCCATGAACGAAGGCAAGGAGGATGAGAACGATAACTGAGATCTATGGATTTGGGTGCACGGGATTGCATGAGTCAATGAGCATGTAATTAGCGGTTCATCTTTTAGGCTTGGTCAATTTTTTTTGGTTGTACAGGTCGGGCGTAGACCCCATAGATTCCATAGATCACCGGAATCCTTCCAACCTTTGTACAGACGCTGGCTGCGGATCGTTGGCTGCGATGGAGGCTCCAGTGACACCTCTGGACTGGCCGCGGATCGATGGCTGTCCGAGAATGTTCCAGGCTGTGCTGGAAAAGGCGAGTGCTCAGGCTGACCTGATAGATGTCGTTCTTCCCCCCCTGCGTTGAGGAACATAGAAGCTGAAGCAGCTGAAGTGCCATGTTTTAGGTGAAAATGGGTTTACGGTTTACTACTAAACTGACTCAGTAAGGACATCATGGGGTGGGAATCGGCTTCCCCACTGAGGCGCGTCTTTTCTTCACCCATGTACTGCGCAGCACACTGTCTGGAGGAGTGCGATGGCTGGTGGTAGATTGATGTGCATATATGCATTTATATATGTCTATATATGTTTACATTTAAAGTTTATACATATAAATGAACATAAGTTTTAGATACTAAATTGCAGCATTCACAGTTCAAGTCTCGTAATTCACGCCTGGCTTGATGTACTCAAGCGTTGCATATGTGCATCCATGAAGCACATTTCGACCTATTCCGCAGTTTTCATCAGCCACTGCACAGGATTCGGACAACATCGTGGAAGGTCCTTTGAAAGCCCAGCACCCGGTGGTGTTTCCCTGACACCGACGTCATGCCATCCATTGATGTCCCATCAGCTGCACATCAAGGCTCTCCTCAACTCAAGTGCACCTTCGGAGGATCAACCTGCATTCCTGGCATGACGCTGCTTGGGAGTCATGTCCAAGACTGCTATGTGGAAAATAAAGGGAGAAGTGTGAGAAGGACTCTTCAATTGTTTTGTATTGAGTCAGCGTCAATTGAAGCGCAAAAGTGTGCTTTTCCTGCTTCTTTTGGTCGACATAGTCCGAAGAACACGACCATGCTGAACGTTCTGATTTGCTTCAACAGAAACAGAAAACAAGAATCCAAAATGGATTTGTCCAAAAGAGAAATTCTTCCACAACCAGAAGTTGATAATTATTTTCCAATTCAAAAGGCAATATATATTGGATGATATATACCCCATTCTGAGGTATTATTATCTGGCAATATATATTGGATTATATATTATATCCACTTATATATTATCATCCAATATGATAATTATTTTCCATTATTTTCCAGTCTCTGTTTTCACTGGTGTCCTCTGTTTGTTGCCTTTGCCAGTCCTACGTTTTGCAGCTGGTTGGGCATGGCAAGGGCTTGGATCACAGTTCTGGCAGATATTTTGTCGTCACGATATATTATAGATCAGTGTAAAGAAAAATATCAGTGTGAATATGTTTAAGAATTCTTCACATCATACTACTTACTACTACTACTATATATATACATATGTAGGTATGTATTATATATATGTGTATATATATAGACATATACATATATATATACATATAATGATATATATATATATAGAAAGAACATATCGGTGTCACTCTTCCAATTTTGATACCACTGAGGTCCAGCGCTTTCACTGGAGCCAGACGGCCTGGATTTGGGCGCGGTGAAAGCATGCGAGACGTTGCAGCGCCAGGTGGATCCCGCATCCCAGGGGCATCAAGTGGTCGGATGGCCTGAAAAACATCAGCTGATGTTTTGCCATGTTGAACAAGAACAAAAAGGTGTCCTGCCCATTTTTGTGACTCATAGCTTGATATAACTTGATATAACTTGAGCCTTTTGTTCCGGGGTCCAGGGTAGGCGAAGCTGAAAATACCATCGGAGGTGGTGATCCTCAACTCCTCTCAGCTGACGGCCTGAAACTCTGCGGTGGCACTTCTGAAAGGTAGAATGGCTGGAAAAGAATCAGAAAAGAATGAACTTATCACTATCTTACTGGCAGTTTGCTTCTCTCTATTTTCTAGCTGGCATCTATATAGTGAAATACAATTTGTAATATTATATAATGTAATGTAATGTGCTGTAATATAATGTAATCTAATGCACGACATATATTAAGATATATTACCAATTATATAGTATAATCATATATAATATAAAGGTAAACTAGAATAATATCATATAGTATACTTAATAATATAATATCATGTAGTATAGTATAAAATGAAGTAATATAACATAATACAATATACTATGATATAACATCAGATTCTTACAATACAATATGGTTTAACAGAATATAATATAGTTGAATATCATGCAATATAATAAATAGTTGAATATAATGCAATATAATAAATAGTTGAATATAATGCAATATAATAAATAGATAAATATAATATAAATATAATATAATTGAATATAATATAATTGAATATAATGTAATATAATAAATAGATAAATATAATATAAATATACTATATTTAAGATAAATTATGATATGATATAATATAAGATGATATATCATGATATAATATAAAGTAAGGCAACACATAATATAATATAACATATTACAATATAACATATCAAAATATAACATATTAACATACACAATATGATTTTAATATGATATAATATACTATAGCAACATATAATACAATATAATATTATATAATTTAATGTAGCATCAGAAAATACAATATAATATGGTATATTGTAATAAAGTAGAATATAATACAATATCATATCCTATAGTTTAATATAGCACTATATAATACAATATAGTATGATACAATATAACATAGCATACACAGTATAATATAATATAATATAACAGAATATAATGTAATATAACATAATATAATATAATATAACATAATATAATATATTATAGTATAATATAATACATTATAATATATAGAATATTTAACATCATATATTATAATATAATATATGACATAATATATTATAATATAAGATATAATATAATAATATAGTATAATATAATACAGTATAATAGGATATAATATAATGTAGTACATTTTAATAGAATACACTGTGATATTTTATAGTACAGTAGAATATAACTTAATATAGTATATACATACACACTGTATGTATAGATAGGTCAGATACGTTTTGTTTTCCCTTGCGCAACCGGTGGGTAACCTACCTATCGAGCAAACTTGACGAGGTCCGATACGAGGTCTCCACGAAATTCGTGGGCAAGTCGTTGCCTCAGCTTCTGCAGGAAGTATATGTGGATGGGTCAAAACCCTATGATACTATGACATACCCTCCGGTAAACTAACATAGCTATGGAAAATCACCACTTTTAATGGGAAAAATCAACTATAAATGGCAATTTTCAATAGCTTTTTGTATGTTTACCTGAGGGTATCCTTTTGGAAAATGAGCTATTTTGATACGTTCACAGCAGGGTACCAGGGTTTTGATCCATACAAAAAACACGTCAAACGACTGTCATGGAACAGGGAGATCCAAATGATTGGTTGATGATTGGTTGATGATTGGTTCGGGGCTACACTAACTTTCAAAAAAAACAAAATGGGGATTATCATCAGCCATGAACTGTGAATCCAGTTCCGTTCACCATCCAGTATACTGTGGAAGCCTCGATATTCGGGGATAAAAACCATGGTTTCCTGTAACGTTTCCCTTAAATCAATCCATTGGTCTTGTTACATCCCATTGTATCGCCAGTTTTTTTGGTTTAGTCATTATTTTGCTGGTGCAATCACATTTTTTTTCGATATCCCCAGTTCAGTTTAGTTATATTGGTTATATCCCTATTACATCCCATGACTCATTTTATCCTATTACATCCCCACTCATTGGTTAGTAATATGCTATCATCTCCCCATTCATATCCCCAAGCCATTGGTTAGTTTTCATATCTTCTTTTGGTTAATGATTTCCCCTTTCATATCCCCTTCAATCCCAAACCATTTCGCAGCACAGCAGCAAACTCATCACCTCAGGGATGCCGCTGCCACGCTGGTGGCGGAGGAAGCCTTGGTGGTGGGCCATAGCGTGGGCTCAGTCGCAGGCTCGCTGGGTCAACCGCACATATATATATATATGTATGTATATATATGGTCCCGTCCTCCGTCTCTCCACCCCCCCCCCATGGGTTGGGGGGGAGGGGGTAGCTCGCCTCTGGGGATCCATGATCCCCATTGTGTTCCGATCTATGTCACCGGTCAAGTATGGTGTAGCAAAGTTGGGTCCCAGGTTTGGTATTCAGCGTTCAACATCATTCAACATGTTCCATCCAAGAAATGATCGGTCATTCAACATGTTCCATCCAAGAAATGATCGGTGGTAAGATGCTGCAATTTCTTTTATCTTTCGTCGGACGACAGTCAGAGCCGCGTTTTGCGTCTCAAGCGGCGCAGAAGCAGCAGGTTATAGCGCAGGCCGGTCTTCTGCAGCACGATTGGGTTGTTGCTGTCATTCGTTGTCCATATCTTGTGGCCATTTTCGTAGATGACAACTGCGATCCCCTTGGACTCGCTGAACGCACCAATGTGAGCTGCTGTCCCGTATGCCCTCGGATGGCGCATGTACTGGAAATAGTTCTTCCAGTTCCAGGCAGCCTTTCCTGGTCCTTCCATCCAACCTGGATCGTCCCACATCTCCAAGCGAATCTGCTCCTGCAAGAGTGCCATGCTATCGCCGTCCATTCGTTGTAGCGACAGCTCCATGTGGCGAAGAATCTCTTCTCGCAACTTCATCGCACTCTCGGTGCTATCCACAATGGCCTTTGCGGGGACACCGGCTCTCGCTTGAAGGGCCATGCTGAAGCAACGAAAGAGGCAAGCTCCGTCACCTTCAGCTGCAATGACCTCAAATGCTGGAGCAGGTCGCTTGCAAGGTGCACCAGGGCCCTTCAGAGGCGTTGGGAAGTAGGCATCATCTGGAGGCATAGATCTCGGCCAAAGTTTCAAATTGGCTTCGTGTTTCCAAGAGACTTGTCCAGTGCGGAGATTTTTGACTTTTGCAAAGCCTTGGCGGCACTGGAGCACTTCGAAGGTCTCCACACCCTCTTGAGTCGTCTCGAACTTCCGTGGTCCGCTTTTTGCCACATATTGAGTGTTCCTGCTGAGCACCATGTCGCCAGCCACCAGTGGCATTGCGGTCTTGTTGGGTCTCTTGCGGATCCATTTCAGTTGGCTTTTCATCCGCTGGCGTAACTTCTTTGAAGAAATGGCATTGCGTAGGGGTTGGATGAGCTGATGCAAGGACTTGGCTTTCTCTTCCAGAGACTCCTTGTCATACTGCTTGGCATCCAAGTAAGCAACCCATTCCTCCTCGGTGAGAGCTGAAGGTTTTTCCATTGCATTCTTCAGGTGCATGTTGCGCCAACGAGATTCTTGAGGCCTCAGTAGTCGCCAGATCGTCTCTGGAGGCAAGCCAACGGCCGTGTTCTTCTGGTTGTATGCGATTGTCGCAGCAGCAAGACGTGCTCGCTGTCCACCGCAGCTTGCGTCGAAGATTTTGTTTCTGCATTCAACGAGGCCGTTTGATTGCGGCCGCCCAGGGGGTATTGTCCGAGCACGGACCCCAAGGGTGGCCTCGATGGCTGCAGAAATAATGTTCCTGAATGCTCCAGCGTTATCTGTCCAGCTTGCTACTGGGAGATCAACGTCGGTGTAAAACTTGATCATAATGTCTTGAACGGCCTGCAGTGTGGCGCCTTTGAAGTTCAAATCCCAGCTCCATGCCTGGGCGCAGCTGAATGCGTAGATGATGGGATATGGCATATGGTGTCAAGAAAGACAACAGAAAAACGAGTTTGGGTCGATGCAGTGCCGGGAACACAGTGGAACACATGTGTGAAGAAACAAATGCAGGCTCTCAGAAAATAAAAATGCAATGTCAAAGCAAAGTACCCGTCCAGAGGTGAAATCGCATGCGAGCAGAAGGTTCCACTTGCCGCCTGACACCGGCGTCATGGTTTTTAAATCCCAGCCCACGACATCTCCAGCTTGACCAGGCACTGGCAAGTGCCGCGGTCTTGGCTGCTGGAGGTCCCTGCAAGTGTTTTGTCTGCAAACCTGCGGCTGCAGTGGATTTCGAGGGCATGACTTTCAATGGGAGGAAACAAGCACCTCCTACTACCTGAATTCTTTCGCAGCATCGAAATGTATAATATAGATATTATATATGCATAAATGAATCGAAGCATGCGTATGTATATATATATATATTTATTTATTTAAATATATATATTTCCATATATATATATATCCATATATAATTATATAAACATATATATATATCCATCTATCGTTTTATATAAATCCATATGTAATTGTATATATATATATCCACATATATATATTTTTATTTATATATAGTTAAACATATATATATATGTATATAATTATATATATTTATATCCCTATATATATATATACATATCTATCCATGTGTATATATATTTATATATATTCACATCCGCAGACCCCAGGCGTGAGGAAGGGGAGCGCGTGAGGGGAAACGAAGAAAAGTTAGCTTCTGATAGTGTTTCTCACGGGTCCAGAATGCCACGTTAGGCACTAGCGTGCTAAAGTAGATGTCTCTAAATACTACTGAGCAAAGAAGGTGACTAGCTACTGTAAAGTAGGCCACTCAAGTCCCACAGGCTCAAAGTTTATTCTTACCTCTGCTACCAAAGTATCGTGCTTGAGCCATGCAGCATGAGCCAAAGTACATTGAAGTACTGGGCATGGTGAAGTGACGTGGGAGAAAAGTGCATATTTCACACGACAACAACAGCAACAACAAAAACAACAACAGCAGCAGCAACTAAGGGCCAGCGTTCTCTGGGTGGGAGCAGCAATAGGATAATACATCTATCGAGCGATATCGAAAGGTCATCCCGCCCCAAACCAAAACATATAGTTATGTATACTAGCAGGGTTCTTTTTCATATAAATACATGGAATATGAATTGACCCACATATATGTGAGATAGGTGAGTTCTGATTCGAAAGGGCAACAGGTAGAAACATACGCATGCCTGGCATCTCTCGACAAAAAATTGCGCATCGAGCTTGCAGTTGGGCCACGCCACTCCAGAGGATTGAAGAGCACTCACGATTCCATCTCTGGCGCCTTGATGCTCGAGATCTCTGTGGGCTGCCTCCAAAAAAGACAACTTCTTCTTTGCATCCACTGTGCTCTGCTGCCTGCCCATGGCTACGGAGCTCCACTTTGGGTTGCCTTGCTTGGCTAAAAGAGCTTGCTTTGTCTTCAAGCTCTCACTTGGCAAGTCAGTCATGGGAGCTTCTAAGATCCAGCGTGCTGCCACCTCTGCAGTAGTTCCAGCTGGCCACAAAGAGGATTCCGGCTGCTGCTGCCCAGCGGCACTTGCATCGGCAAAGTCCTGTTTGCGTTGATTGAGGTTCTTTGTGCAGCACTTTTCGCACTTGGGACGGCTAGAACCCCATTGTGTCTTCGAGAAGCTCTCTTTGGGAAGCGGCTGCGAGCATTGGACGCAATTTCTGACCCATACTTTGGCGTTGTTTGCCTGCGGTGTCGAGCAACAAGCAATGCACTTGGAAGCCGTTCCTTTCTCCCACTGCGTGTTGGAATATTGATCTCGAGGCTTCTCTATCTCACAGGCTGCGCAAACTTTGCCAGACAAAGCTCTTCGTCGGAATCTTTCCTCAACAGGTCGGCATGCTAGACACACGCCATCCTTCTGCAGCCACTGCGTGTGAGAAAACAGGTCTCTGTTCTTGTTCGCCTTGCATTGGTGACCTTAGCAGCGGCCGCAGGACACGGCTGACGTGGAGTGGAGAGCATCGGTTCCCATGTATCGTATAAACTGGTTTCAATGTATGTCTGTATAGATGCCGTTGGAGGAATGCCGCCTAGGCACAGGTCTTGGTGCTATGAGAACACTGCTAGCGGATTGTCGCTGCAGAGCATCCTGAACTATTTGTTGCACTTGAGACAGTGTGACGTACTGCGGAGCCGCAGGCGCCATGCCCGAGGCTTGGGCCCCACTGGGCGGTTCCACTGAAGCGGAAGGCTGGCGTGACCCTGCCGAAGCTGAAGCTCCTTTAGCACGAACGTGGTTCATGGCCTTGTTCAGGGTCAGTCGGGCGTAGTAGTCCTGACAAACAACGGGGCAGCACTGTGGTGGGTGAAACAAAGGTCCCTGAGTGCACATCTGCTAGAAGCTATAAAACAAGGAGAGGGCAACATGACCAAAGTGAAGTATCGATTGTCGCACATAGGTAAGATGAGGCAGCTCTTATTAAAAGTTATATAGGATGGCTGAGAACAAAAGCGGTACACAATTGTGAGAAAGCCGGTCGGATGCGCCTGGTTACCTCGTTTGGCCAGCAAAGGACAGTGCTGGATGGCATCCTCTAAAGTTGCTTGCGGATTCGACTCGAAAAAGTGGCAAGCCTCTCTCCAGTCGTCGCGGCTGATGTCCCGTTTGGGCGGTGCCGAGTCGGTTTGAACACTTCCATGCTGCAAGCGCATCTGAGGGTTGCTTGTGAGCTGCAGGTACTGAGCTTCGTCCAAGTTCGCCAAGCCAGAATACAATAAATGGGTGTGACACTGCTTCTCCGGCTTGCGATTGATGCTGCCGGGCAAGCGCCCGACCTGGGTGATGCGGGCTGAGCATGGATCGCCCCCCAAAGCCTTGGTGAGCTCCTGCGTCACAATCTGTGCGTCTCTGGCTTGGTGCCTTTGGTCCAAAGTCAGCCAAAGCTGATAGCTCTGTCTGCTAGTCTGCACCAATGCGCGCGGATGCAACTGCAGAAGTTTGGAGAGGGAGCCAGTGAAGTTGTCCAAGTCGATCATGACTACTGAATTGAGATTTGGGCGAATGAAGAAGTGACACGGCAGCTTCATCCATACCTCAGCGTGGTCAAAGCATAGGCTCTGTGAGGTCCGAATAACAAGACAGCGAGGAAATGATTGGAAATAGCTTGTAGTGGCATGGATAGGGCCGAAACAAACAGCTTATATATAGTATACGCAGGATATTTGTGTCGATCTGACATTTTGACGGTGCTGCACCGAGATCGGCTATGGCAAGGCACCGATAACTCTGCGAGGAGTGCTTGCGTGCTCAGCTGCGGTCTGTGCACCAGGGCATTTTTCCGCTCCTGATCGAGGAGCAAGATGTTCCAACTGCTGCAGTCTGGGAAACTGCGAATGAATGTCAGGGCTGCTTCGAGATCCTGCGCTGCAGAGATGGTAGACGGTATCCGAAAACAGTGACAAAAAGATGGGACCAAGTGTATGTGCCCTGCAATGACCATAATGATTAATGCACAATACCCGGCCTAGCCTTTTTTTGGACACTCTAACTGAGGGAACACGCATCACTGTCCTTTTGTGTCGTGTCTCGCACAGGTGTGGTCTGCAGAGACGGCACAGGCGCCACACTCATCCACGCCAACGTCCCTCCTGAGCGAAGCTGACAGCTGTTACATGTGTCACCAAGGTAATGTCCGAATGACTTCATTCGGTGGAAGTGTGCTGTTAACAAGTAGAAACCAAAACGTGTTCGTCCTTGCTCACCTGTTTGTCCGACATCAGGTATACCACTGCGATCTAGAAATTCCAAAACTTACCCCCCAAGCTCGCCCTATGTCAAATAGAATCCAAAATCTGTCCGTCTTTGCTGATCTGTCTGTCAGACACGGCACAGGCGCCACACTCAGCCACGCCAAGGTCCGTCCTGAGCAAAGCTGACAGCTGCCACATGCGTCAACAAGTAGTTTCCAAAACCTGTTCGTCCTTGCTTACCTTTTTGTCCGACATCAGGTATACCACTGCCATCTAGAAATGCCAGAACTTATCCCCCAAGCTCGCCCTATGTAATGAACAATACCCGTCAGTGTTTTGCTTTGGGGCAGTCTAACCGAACAGGACCAAACATCACTGTCCTGCCGTGTAGTGTCTCGCACGGATGTGGTCTGCAGATACGGCACGGGCGTCTCACTCGGCTACGGCAAAGTCCGTCCTGAGCGAAGCTGGCAGCTGCCACATGTGTCACCAATGTGTATCATTTGGATGCCGTTGTTTAAAGCTAGAGGTAATGCAAAACGCTCTGTGATTCCCCACTAGCAGCTGGTAGGTACTTACATCTTCAAGCCACCAAAAACCCTCTGTAAGACTTTTTCCAGGCCCAAACCCCCGTATGTGTCGCCACCGTATGTGGCGCCATCTCCCCTTCTTGCCACCCAGTCTCTTGTCTCAATCAATGTCCAGACGGTTGGCCATGATCGCTCCGAGTCTCTTATTATGACAGATTCACATAGAAAGTATCACCATATATATCTATATATATATACATATATAGGTATCTGTGTCATGTGCAGGCAATTATATATCGATGCATCAAAGCATTCAAATGTCCATATATATATATATATGTGTGTGTGTGTGTCCGTATATATTCACACACACATATATATATATATCACCTGTCTCATGCACGGGTTTATATACTGGATCTATATGAAGACTGGTTTTGTATTCACACACGCTGGATTTGATTATTTGTCTTTGTCTTGTTGTCATCTGCCCAATCATGCCCCCGTGCCTTGCCCCACATAAACTCCAGCGGAAAGGTCGAGCGGCATCGGTGATCACATCTCAAAGTCTCTGTAGAGCAAGCACGGACAATCAGATGATGGGGGTAAACATGACCCCACTATATGATATATGTAAAACATAGCTACGAACACATAAGGCCACTGCCAGCCACAAGGGGGGGGAGCGGATGAAAATCTCATATGGAAAACATGAATGCCATACATACCATACCTACATTTACATAGGAAACATTCCATACCCATCATAGTAACCATACATACCATGCATACCATACATACTGTCATATCAAACATACCATACACAACAGACTTACATACCATACCTACCATCCATACAATACCAAGCATTCATGGCATACATACCATACCTACCATACATACCAAACATACCATACTTTCCAAACATGCCATACCAAACCGACCAAACACTCCACACATACTCAACATACCATACCACACCCCCACCACACCACAGGGGGGAGAGAGGACAGTACCACACCCCCACCACACCACAGGGGGGGAGAGAGAAGATGTCATATGGGGGCAGTATATGGCAGCATGCAAAGACGAAGCCATAGGTACGAGCATATAAGGCCACGTATATATACTCATATATACATGTGCTATGTATCAACGCTCCCTCTTTACTACCTGTGTGCTAAGCCCCGACTATATGTGTTTAACATATTTGGTACCTACCATACATTAACATGATGCCATGCATACCATACCTATCATACCTATCATGTCATACATACCACACATATCATACACATGAAGCATAATCACCACACCTACCATACATACAATACCAAACATACATGCCATACATACCATACCTACCTTACATAGGAAACATTCCATACCCATCATAGTAACCATGCATACCATACCTATCTTACCTATCATGCATACCACACATACCATACATATGAAACATAATCACAACACCTACCATACATACAATACCAAACATACATGCCATACATACCATACCTACCTTACATAGGAAACATTCCATACCCATCATAGTAACCATGCATACCATACCTATCATACCTATCATGCATACCACACATATCATACATATGAAGCATAATCACCACACCTACCATACATACAATACCAAACATACATGCCATACATACCATACCTACCTTACATAGGAAACATTCCATACCCATCATAGTAACCATGCATACCATACCTATCTCACCTATCATGCATACCACACATACCATACATATGAAACATAATCACAACACCTACCATACATACAATACCAAGCATACATGCCATACATACCATACCTACCTTACATAGGAAACATTCCATACCCATCATAGTAACCATGCATACCATACCTATCTTACCTATCATGCATACCACACATACCATACATGTGAAACATACCCAACATACCATACCAGCATGCAAAGACGAAGACATGGGTATGGACATACAAGGCCACTACCAGCCACAGGGGGGGGAGGGGGAAACACCCATGACCACAGGGGGGGAGGGGGGGTACCCAACCCATGGGGGGGGTGGCAGGGCCTGGAGCATATATA